CTTCACAGAAAGGCAGCTGTTGGAGAAATCTCTTGAGTACAAGCTTTTTACTTCTCAGTGCTGGTTTTTTCATAGGGAAACAAATTCATTCAACCTATGACCACACAGAAATCTTCTCGCATGACTTTACTCATTGTGAAACTCACCCTTCACAGTAGACTGTTGAACAAGACAATTACTTTTAACCATATTCAGCTTGGTAATTCCTCTGTTTTCTCAAAACTAAAAAGGGCATTCAAATTCACCTGGACCAGGTTCATTTTATCTCAATCTCTAGATGATATCAAAAGCAGGACTGGCTGCTGTTACACAAGGATTTTACAAATTGTTTAAAGCAATCAATTTGGATTTCCACTCCTCTCTCTTCTTTGACTTCTGGCCTCTCAGCCAAGGGGAATCTAAATTCACTGTGTAAGATAAACCTTTTCCAACAATTTGTGACCAAAAAAACTGAAAAGTTAAAAACACCATGGCAAACAGTAGATGCTGACATCTTTTTCAGATCTCAGAGTAGCATATAATATGTTACATGAACTATGATTTCCAAGTAAACTGTCTGAAGGTTGTATAATAAACTCATGAATGTCTTCAAGTGTTTGCCTTCTCAAGAAAGAGAACTAGATTTATCCATTACCTATAGTAGTCTCCCTTTCTTTTCCCACTAAAAAGGCTTCATATACAACTGAAGAGAAGAACTGTCTAAGTCTCAATGAAGTCTTAAGTTCAAATCACGTTATTTTCTCTCCTATGTGAAGCACTATACCATATGATAACATCTATCTGCTTCAAAATTCAGCCATATAGACACATACTGAATAACTCAAAAACCCCTTTCTTGTTTCCAAGACATTTTAACTCACATATGTGTCATATTCCCTTATCTAGAAAACACAAAATAGAGCCCCATGTGTTGGCAACATCACTATCTCCCCACAGAAGGATGCTCAGATGAGAGTGGCCCAAGAGAATTCTAAAAATCTTTTGACAAGGTTTTATTTATTTAGGGTCAGGGAAAACAGGAAAAGCACAAAGAAAAAAAGTTTCCTCTCCACAAACCCAAAAATATTTGGGTTTTTATCTATTTCTTCTGACTATATCCAACAACCCTTTCCTAAAAAGGAAGCTTAAAAGCATTAATTTAGGTTGTATCCGCATAAGGCACTTCCCAATGTTTTTTCTGTTATCTTAATTATTCACTTGAGCTTTATTCCTTTTGGTTTCACTTCCTCAGTATAACATACTGTATACACAAATGAGCACTGCTTGGTTTTTTTTTTCAGGTGAAATAGTGAGTGATTGGGGCACATCATATACTCCTCTTTGTGCATGCTAGAAACTCCTCACAAACATATTCAAAGTTACTTAAGTGTATTTGTAAGTGTGTGTGTATATATATACACAGACAAACGTATATAAAAAAAATAGACATTACTGACAACCTCTCAATAGCAAGAAAACAAAACCTAAAAATTTATTGCTGGTTTACTATTTTTGAAAAAGGGAATATTTTTATACTGTCACTTACCAATTCTTCTACCAAAGATTCTGTTTTGCATTAGCTTTTATCAACATATTCTCCCAACGCTGTAGACTGAATTACTGTCTGTGATGTCTCAAGTAATGTGAAAAAAAAATTTTAAGTAATCATGTTAACTGTAGCCTATCTGTAAATCAGCAGACAGGAAGAGTGGTTAACACTACTGAAATCACTTTTTCAATAACTTCCCTGAAAACCAAACAGTACGTGCTGCATTGTCCCAGTGAATGGCAAAACTTCCTCCTTGTTACACATGGAGTTAAAAGTTCCACAGTCAAGTCAATAAAACGTTACAGTGCAGGCATTTTAATGTGCAAGTGTGATTTATATACATCCACTGAACAACCATTATATTTAAGGCCAAAATTTACTTCAGAGGAAGAAAGTTGTGTGCCTGCTCTCTCCTCTCCAGAAACAGTGGCTTTGAGCTGCTTTCTGAGCTTATGCCCATGGTCCTACACAGGCATAATCAACAGACCACAGTAACAGAAAAGCTACTAACTGATGATTCAACATTAACCAACTGCAAACCAACCGAGGAATACAGTCCCCACTCATCAGGAAGCAGTCTTATTCAAACAAAAATTTGTTAATTAAGCTACTCCTCCTGGTTAGTTCCTGCTATTACCTATAAAAAGGTGACTTCTCGAACGACATGTAACATAGAAGGAAAATTACCACCCAACAAACTTAGGTTGATCACCAGTCAAATCCTGAATTAAAGAATTCTCAGATGACTCCCATACCACCATCTCTAACAATAACAATAAAGATATTTTTTCAACAATCTTTCCTCAAATTGAATTTCCTAGAAAAAGGTTACCGTTGAGAATACTTCTAGTCAAGTTAAAAACTTGCATATTCATGTGTCAATTACAGAACTGTGGGATGAGGATACAGAGGCTGAGCTTATAATGCTTAAGAAGATACAGAAGTGGTCTTAATAAGTAAGTGCTAAAAATTTTCTTCAGCAACACTAGATGAAGTTGCAAGTTAAAACAGTGTAATGAAACAGAAGTGACTATTTAAAACAAATGCACACAACAGTAGCTTCCTGAAAATAGAATAAAGCATTTAAAATTCAGTACTCTTCAAACCTACTAATAAAATACGGGGTTAAGAGCCTACCAATAAAATATAGGAAAAGAGAACTGGTCAGCAGATTATTAGCTGGACCTCCTGAAAGATGTTCAACTTCTTCTAAAAACATCACTGACACAAAAAGAAAATGCTGAACAACACAAATTAGCTAAGAAAAATACAAAACAGCAATAATGCTTCCACACTGTGACTGACAGCCAGTATATACAACATCTGCAAAACAGGTAAGCCATGATCTTTGCAAAATATTTAGTACCACACAATAAAGTTACTGGATGGTAGAAGAAAGTTACACTGAAACTATACAAACATGATGAAGGAAGCATATTCATGCATTACTGATGTTCAGGATACAGCTGTGGTGGGGAGGGAAAAAAAAAGCGAGCATTCAGATGGTTTAGTTTGCTTTGGCTCCAGAAGAGACCCTTTTCAGTTCAGTCTTTGCCTCAAGGAAAGAAGAGCTGGCTGGCTCCTCTCACATGCTATTGCTCGTAAGGGTGAACATTTTTCGGTCATGTAGCTCAATGTGGCAAAATCAAATCCTTCTGGAGTTACCGGGAGAGGGCAGGGGCAATACCCTAAAAACCAGGTCAAGTCTGATTCCCAGAACTTCTCTCGACTTGCAGTCTCATAGTATCATACTAAATTTCTTTTGCTTAAAACTATTAAGGAAACATTGATCAGGACTCAATTAGCATTGCAGAGAAAAAGAAAATATTCTACTGATTAATAAAATCCCACAATTACATTAATTAATAGATAACCTAGTGATATGGTGAGAGATGGCTCTGAATTCCTTACTGACTTTGAAAGAAACTCCACAATACGGCAGGAGCCTGAAGTTGAAGAGCAACCCTGCAACAGGCTACAGTCCTGAAGTGCAAAAAATATGACTATAATATGGCAACTCTGAAAACTGCCACAGCAGTTGACTTGAGAGGGAAGCTATAGCCAAAGAATTTTTTGGGCCTCCTAGCAACATTCTTTGCTGTCATCAGACACCACAGGTGATGTTGCTAAAAGTTGGTGCCTACGCCTGAACAGGTAGGGGCAAGAAGAAAGGGTGTGAAAATCCTCTTCCTGATTAGTCATGATCTGCCTGATGCACAATCATCAGGATGGAAAGAAAAGTGTGATGAGGACCACAGAGAATAGTTAGTTTGACAACAGCAATAATATCACACATTGACTGCCTTTTAACTGGTAGTTCTTTTCCTACTCTGTTAGTATTTTCCCCTATCAGCATGAAATGCCACATATATATACATACACAAAAAGACATAGTTATGAACTTCATAAATTGCATGCTATTTCTAGAGAATTTATTATACTCAATCAGGACTTGAGATGAAATTCTTATCCTCTTTGTTGGAAAAATCAATATAGCACACTCTTCAAACTTTGTTTTCTCACCTATTGTTATGAAACTTTTGAATGAAACTAAGAGTTTAAGAGTTTTAAATGTGATCTACTTTTTTAAAAGAGTAACTTCAGTTACAATCAGAGCATAAGACCAGTTTCTGCCACTCATTTTTATTAACAGGGTAATTACAACAACCACACTTGTTATCATGAAATCAGTTTTTCTAAATCTCTCCATTGTATTCAGAATACTTGGAACTGTGCTGATTCAGTGTTGGTATAGATACTTTATGACACTTAATACATTCATTATTGACATAATTTAATTAAGACTTAAATCCTCTGCACTTTCCCTGCATATTGGTTTGGTGGTTATTGAAACTTCATGTTACAACAACTACTGACAAATTTAGTTATAACACCACAGATAGATAATTTAACTTTTTTCTCTACAAAAACATTATTCTTGCAACACTTCTGAGAAAAAATGATTCCTAAAACACATAATCAAAAAAATTTAGTCTGCTGTTTTCCTGTAACACTTTAAGATTTATATCTGTCGAAAAATTTAAGCCCTAGCTACATGTTTGAGTAGACGTAATGTTAATTGATTATGATGAGGTCAAAGCACATTGATATCTACTGTAAGTCTATTCAAGCACGACAGGGCCTTTCTGCTGCTGCATAAAAGCAGGAAATTATTCCCCTCAACTGATTGTGTCTGTCAAGTGAGCACACACACCAGTAGCTGGATATAAGACAGTCTTCATTTCCACAGGGATTCAGGTTTAAATTCAATGAGTTTAAACTAAATTTTTAGAAACAAAAATTTAGCAGTGAGGATTGTCCTCTTCTATTTTTGGTAATGAGCTAGCATGAAGGATTTTCCTAAGTATAAAAAATGGTCTTGCTATAAAAGCTGCTATCTTTTAGAGGTTCAGTAGTTAAAACTGATGGAAGCCTTTGTGTATTTGTAATTTATCTGCTTTTAAATACTTACAGTGAAAAATACGGAAATCAATGTATGGATGAGAACCTCTTCTCTCTGTTTCAAATCCTGCCCGACTTCTTACTCGCACATCTCCTAGAAACAGGGTCAAGAGTGAAATAAAAGTGTGGAAGAGTGGCAGAGATAAAATGCAAATGAACATAGCCTGGAGGGGTAAAGATTCATGTACTTAATGGAGGAGAGTAATTCAAACAATAGGCCTACTTCAATGCTTTTTGTTTTAAAGGTGGAATTCAAAACAAAGTTTGAAGACTTGTTAAACATGCAATCACATGCTTTCTCGTCAAAATCTCTCCTGCCTAAGCATACGTTGCCAGAAGCATGTGATAAGCATTCAGATGAAATTAGGAAGAGCTTGCTACATCAGTATGGTAAAAATGCACCTTAATATGACAGAAAACACAAACATTTAAAAGTTGATTTGTTCCTCAGTAACACACATAAAACGATAACATTTTATAAAATACAAAAAAGATTCAACTTCTAGAAATGGTAGCTTTTAGCAAATAAGCTAGTTAAAATATGGTTTTATTTTACATAATAGAATATTTTCCCACTAGCATTTACTTACTTGTGCTCAGCTGTTTGAATATTACACAAGAGCCTATTAAAATACCAAAACTCAGTATTAAAATTTTATCAAACTATTTTGCACTGTAATTAGCTTCAACCTGAATCTTTTAGCATGCTAGTTGATTTCTACTTATCCATTTTACCAACTGAAAGCTGATCAGTATTCTTTCATTAGGTACTTGTATGCATTAATATAAGTAGTTCACTTCGATTAAAAGCTTTCACTTAAAATCCTTTTGCAATTACAAATTTGGACAAATCTTTGAGGATCAAATGCAATAGTGTTTCCCTCCTCAAATCCTAACAAAAAGTTAAATTGAAGGTGTGCAAATGTTCTGGTTTCTAATTATGAAAATCCTTCAAGTGTAGTATTCTCCTCACCTCAAACACAGCGCTTTTTATATGAATCCAAAATAAGTACTTAACAAAAGCAACTATGACTGAGTTGAAAAAAACAAAATAAAAATCTAGCTATTTAATTTCCAGCAAGTAATAGACACCTTGAAAGTATTTTTCCCTTCTTTTCTTTTCCAACCGGCTAATCTGTAATGCTGAAGCAGGCAACTTGTCAGAAAATAGCTAAAGATACTGACTTAAGCTTTTAATGCTCAACAGGCATCTTTGTAGAGATACATATCTATAAACACTGACATACCTAGAGTGATACACTTGACATGAATGTTATCTTGTGAACCAGGCTGGAAGGACCACAAAAAGGTAAGTAGGTCCAGGGCTCCCCAAATACTGGGTGTAAAATTTGTATAACAGTAGAAACATACTAAATACATGTGCCTTCCAGTAATTAGCCCTTTTATTTTTTGAAACTGAAAACCTTAAATGAGCTGCAAGGGAAAGCAACCTGACAATATATTACTTAAAAATGCTTCAAGCATTCATTTGAACAGAGTGCAAGAGACTTGTCTCCTTCCCGGCAATACAGAGGCAGCAGATTGTAGAAGTCTTCTGTTAGGCAAAAGCAACTGGTGAATTTTATTTACAAAATAAATTAATGAAAAGGAAAAAGAGAGGAAACTTTGGAAGAGAGGAAGCGAATGCATTAGTAGCTGTGTATGAAAATATCAGTTTACACGGAGGCAAATTCAACTTTCATTACCTTTCACTCACATTTATCTGGGTAATCAGGCATAGCTACAGCTGCGTGAATGAGTTCACCAGCTGAATTAAAAGAAAAAAGACTTTTTTAGTTGAGCTAATTTTTTGCAGAAAATGTGATATAGATTTTGTGAATTATATTTAGTTTTCAAGGTAGTTCTTTACTTTCAAAATTTACAAACCACAATATAAATCAACAAATAGTTTCAGTCAACGTACAACTAGGTTTTGGCAAACAATTTACTTGTTTTAAGTATCAAGAATAGGAAAAGTTCACAGAAAAATACCTGAAGACCAACATGGAATTCTGCAAACAAAAAACCAAGCAGATTCACCTGATAAATGATGTCCAGAAAATTTCTCTGTGCTTTGTTCTTCTTTATTTACTAGTACCTTGCCTAACAGTATGGACAGACTAAGTATCCCTGTTACCCTTGAAATGCCTACAGTGTTGAGGATTTTGAGTAGGAAAACATGAAAAACTGTCTACAAGTGAAATGCAGAAGTGCAACTGACTACATTGCTTTTAACAGGAATTACTAGAACATCTATTTACAGGAATATTTAGCCAAAAGAAGAAATTATATATTATAAATGCACATCACAAAGTAACAAAAAGGCAACTGTAATAAGATACAGCTAAAATGAGTGTATTTAGTTGCCTACATAAGGAATGAGAAATTCCAGCAAGGAAAGCAAAATATTTTCATTAAACAGTTGTTAAATAAATTCTCTCTCCTTAATCATGGTAGAAGAGGATATTTTTTTAAAAATAAAGATTTTAACAATGGATTAGTTATTTAGAATACAATTGTATTTATTCTGGAAAAATATATCACTTCTACAGGACTGGAATGTATTACAGCAAGCAAAGTAGAAAATTCTATTGCACCAAAACAAAGGCAGAAAAGCAGTCTCCATTACCATAGTACAGGACTGCTGCATTTTTTAAGATTTCAGACAACAAATGTGCTTGAAAAATACTGGTACAAGCGGATTTTGATGATAGCATTTTTCCATCTGAAGTTTCTAAGTATATGGAAGCAGAAAAAAGAATAGCATCTAACTGGCTACATGTCATGAAATTATGTGCCATTAGCACAGTGAAACTTATCTCTACTGCATAGGTATAGTTAGTCCCAAAACATCCAGGAATACTGGACCGTCATTATGCATTCACTGTTCAGTTGCTGTAAACTGCAAAGATTAACAGACCCCAAATCCTTGTGCTTTCACACAACATAACGTATTTGCATCGATTTGCTTGGGAAATCCCGTGCAAGTGTTTTGTAACCCTGTCACTGAAATTATGCAGAATTTAATTTTAAGGAAGAGACATGTTTATCTTCATAGGTAACTTTAAGAAAAGGCACAAGACATCTCGAATTTATCAGACAAAAGGACACTGTTACATAATTCCTACAAACAGCAACAGATGTCCAGCCTCAGAGTCAATCATTATTACGGTAGCTGAAAGACAATTTAAATTCAACACCTAAACCAAAAGAACTTTTGAATAATTTTCATTTATTTAGACCTTTACAAGTATATCAAAACGGTTACAAAATCTTTTTAAACAATGAGATCACACAGTCTGCTCACAGGTGTATTTCCTTGGGGGAGCACAGAAGTGACAGCAACCTAACTGACAGCTTTTATCTTAAGTGCCCCTTCTTTGGAGACTTTTAGCCACTCTGAAAAGACTCCTCTGTTACCTTAAGGGAACACATTCAAGTCCAGCATCTTAATGACAGCGGACTTCCAGGAACAATTTTTTTCCCTCTTTGAGAGTTTCTGTGATTCCAAAGAATCAAGAAGAAGATTTAAAAGTGTGAAGCCTTCCTTTCAAAACCTGATTTTGTGCACAAAAATGACAAAATATCTGATGGCCGAGTATTCAGCTACATTTTTTTCCAGAATAGTTCTACATGATCAGGATTGCTTGCATTTTTAAGACAAAGGTCATACAGGCAGAAACTCAATTGAAGACTAAATAAACCATGGAAGAATGAATCTAAGTGGGAGGTTTGCAGCTACAACTGAAAACAGCAAAGGAATCAGGGCTGTAACAAGACTTACCTTGAAAGAGATCGCTTAGTTCCTGCCCCTCTCTCAGATTCCTGCTTACAGGGCAAGGACAGCTCTGATACTTCCGAGGCAGCTGAAATGCCACAGCTGACATCCCTGTGCGTTAGGGTTACACAGCACATACTTCGTGCTACCCTAACGCTCCACTGTGGCACAGTAACAATGCAGCAGCTGCTTGGGGAGCTGAGGCCTTTGGAGCAGGGGCAGAAACCTCAGAGATCACGGAGGACAGCTGGGAGCAGAAATTACGACAGCCACCTCAAGGTAAAGCACCCAAGTCAAAGCCATGAAGTTCTGAAGAGCAGGATTTCCAGACAGAATTACTAGCTTCACAGAGTAAAGTTCCTATTAAATTTGTTGAAGAAACAGATGATAGGTCAGCTGAATACGCCAGAATTAAAGCAAACTGAATACAACATAACTGCTACAGGAGAAGAGCGTGCATCACACAGTAGCTTTCCTCCAACGTCTCTAAAGGAGAGTAAAATCTCTCTAAAGGAGCGTAAAATGCTCCAGTTTTAGTTGAGAGGTGCACGCTCACCAATACAAGCAGTCAGTGCCCCACACTTTCTACTCCATTCACAGCAGCAAAACTTTCAGGCAATAGAAAACAGCAAGAAAAAGAAACCAGAAAAGCAAATAAGAGAAAAAAAATCAAGGAAGTATCAAGATTACACAGAAGCATTTAAAAGATATTTTGAGAATTCCTCATAGTTGCTGAGAAAAGTAGTTGAGGGGTGTAGTAGCTGAGGTGATGCAGATGTATTAGCCTTTCCAAGGTCTTAAAAGAAAAATTCTACAATGCTGCATCTGTATCTATATCTTAAAATAGTAAATAAGCCACTCGGGAGTGGCTTAGTGTATATTTTGGGAATAGGGTATGACAGATGAGTCATTACAGTCAACCCTGTTTGTTTATATTGACACACTGATGAAGACAGTTAACAGTTAGTTGTTTATTTTGTGTAGCCCTAAAATTTGATCTTTTAAGTGGAACCTGGCAACACTGCTATACCACAGGAATTCCAATTTACTTGATGTAAATTAATATCCATTGGATTCCCATTGGAACAGCTTAAAAACATCAAATGAAGAAACTTTACAGCCAGCACAGCTAAATAGAGGAAGAGAGGTATCCTAGATACCCTTGGCTTTATATTTTTGGTCTGCTAAAATAAACACCTTATCAAGGTACATTTTACTAGTAGGTATACTCTATATGGAATAAAAACCAAGAAAGTAAAAGGCAAAACCTCTCATGACTGTGCCTAACTTCCCATTAAGTTACAGCTGAGGATTCCTTACAGCTCACTCCACTAAAATGTACTACGATAAATAAAACAAAAACAAAACTTCATCACAATACTGTAGGAAATGCAATGCTTCACATTTCTTGCAAAAAATTCTAATGGAATATATTAACTCTTGAATCTACTCTGATATGAATGTTTCTACATACCGATGCATCCAACTGTTCAGCTTTCAGGCTGGTCTTTTTTACAGTCCATTTACACTTACAAAAGTACTATATATGTAAATAGTTGCTAACTTGTACAGTACAGTGTACATAACATTTGGGAGAACCAAGTGACCCCTAATAAGTGAGAAAATACTACAAATTTATCATACTGATTAAAACATCCAGCGAGCAATTTTTTGTTTGCTTTTTGGTACCCTCCTCCCCCTACCCAAGTTAGAACAGCGCGAATGAGTTACGCCAGCGAGCAAGACTTATGCTATTCATAACAAGCACCAATCACATACTGTAATAATTAATTCCAATGAGAGAACAAGTGAAAATTTAATTTACTTAGCATCATATTCTGATTATTTTCCAGTTCTGCCTATGAGAATAGTTAAAGGTTTTCCAGACAAATGAGATTTTTCCCTCAGTTCAGGAGTATATACCAAGAACTACAGGAAGTCACGCTTTGCTTTCCTCTAGAATTACTTGAGCATTATCACATATCCTTCTGCAGAAATGATGGGCCTAACTACTTCATTTTAAGTTTTGAAAGCAAAATAAAACTAATTACAACAACAACAAAAAAAAACCCACAGGCTTTTTCAGTAAACATTTAGAAGTCAGCTTCTTCTGTCCTCCTCTTAACAGATCTCCAAAGTAATTAAATTCTCTGATCAAAAATCCTTCAGTAGACAGTCACTGCTGTAGTATTAACAACCTCACAAATATAAAAAACCTAAAATAATTGAAAAAAAAACAAAAATAGAAGATGCTAAGTCAAAATTGGATTTTTATGTAAATATGCAGGTATATGCCCACATATGCAAGTTAAGACTATGAATTAATATACACACATGTGTACACATGTATATAGCTTACAACTCTAAATTCATAGACAAGGCAGTTATGAATTTCTGGGGACTTTAACACATACAATATACAACCAAACTGAAAAGAATCAGGGCATAAAAAGACACGTTATGGCTGACTGAGTTGGAGATGGTTAAGAATTAGTAATCACTAGCTGTTGTTCATTGAGCTGCGAGAGACATCATGCAAACACATTCATAGTCCATTTCAACAGAAAATCATAGCTCAAGATGGCTTTAAATTAAGTGGCATCCTTTTGCAGTGAAACAGACTTAGAGCACATACACAGTCCCCACGCCATCTGCACCACCAGCAGCCTCCAGAAGAGGTGCGGGAAGTACCGAATCTGGCAGCCAGAACTGTGAGAGCTTTGCATCTTTCTCCTCTCAACAAGTGACCTCAACTCCTTCTGTGCACTCAGTATCACAGAGGGTCTCCCCTTGGGTGTCTTCCCCTCCCAGTAGTGTGCTTTCATTTGAATTCAGCTTTAGTCTTTCTCTAGTTCCTACTCTGAAAACATTCATAGGTTGACTGAACTCCTGGCCCTGTCATGCATCCTCTCCTTCTCAAGTCACCTCCTAGGATTAATGAGAAAAATATTGCTTAAAATCATATCATTGTTTTAAGAACACCTTGAGCATTTCATATCTTCCATATTGAAGTTTTTAAGAGTGCGTGGTAACTCTCACACAAATGTTCCCTAAGCTACAGTTTTAACCAGAAGGATACCATGCAGGGGTGGTAAATTCATCACAGAAATAAAGGTCATTCATGAGTCACTTAGAAAACTTAACTTCTACCAAGCACTTTAGGTTAATTACAAGAATTTTTCTTTGGTTTTGTTTGTTTTGTGGGTTATTTTTTTTTTTAGTACAGGAGTAAAACATCCAACACAATAATTAACTCAGGAAAAAAGAAAAAGAAAAAAATCCAACAACCAAAAAACCCAAGTCAACACAAAAGAACCCAAACTCTTCTAAAGAATCTAACCAAAATGTTATCCAGGAGAAAGAGATTGATAAGTTTATGAATTCAACACAAATATTTAAAAAGTTATTATTTAAATCAATCATAAATGTTAGAACTTTGCAATACAGAAACTGGTATGCTTACCTAGCATACGAATGTACAACGCAGTCTGATCCGAGCTGTCATAGGAAATTGCTCCACGTCTCTGCAAAAAGAGAAAGCATATTTTATGTAAGTTAGAAATAAATAATTTTTAAATTGAAGTGAAAATATTAGTTGACCATTTCCAATTTAACTCTCAAAATTAATTTTAGAAATCTTGCATCTTTCGCGAAAAATGCATCTTTCAAAGACATATATGTCTACTAATTTTAATTTAAGTAGGGACAAAGGAAGGACAAGAATTGGTAGTAAAAAAATTATGAAAAACAGGACCAAAGTGTCGGAAAAAAAATACCCTCATAAATTTCTTTTCAGATGTTCCTCAATCATTCCTCACAATAAAAAAAAGACACAGACCTAGATTACACAGACACAAAAAAATGCTTCTCACAGCCTTCTAGAGCATCATACTTGAAAAAAATACTTGCAGCTCCTGGTTTATTTATTTACTTTTGCCTATGGGCTATTTTCATCTTTCAAATATAAAAGTAGTTTTAAAAGAAGTAAAAGAAAGCAAATGACACCATAACTGCAGTCCTAGGCTGCCACACTGCTTTCTGCAGGCAAATCAAGGTACCACTGAAGCAAGAATACATAAAGATATTTCAGAGAAAACAAGCAAGTGTTATTTCATATTTTATGATAAAAGTCTAAAAGAGTCATCAAGTTATCCATGCACAACATCGAGATACTCCCACATAAGCTGTATTTCTTACCTACACAAGACGTGTTTCAGACCTATTCAGCTAATGGGATAGTTATAATCTGGGAAGTCTCACAGGTGGTGGTGAAGTGGTCCTCCAACAGCTAAAAACTGGAGGAATGTTCTCATTGCTACACAACAGTGGCACCACAAAGTCTTCAAAGCTTGGCTTGACCTAGCACCCAGCCTTTACTTTACCCCAGCAATCCTGCCTTTACTGTGCTTCAACCATCTTCTGCCACTTCCTAGGGCCTTCATTACTGTTACTTCTTAACCCTGGGATTAGAGGATCACTTTCACAATCAGGCTGTTATTTAAAGAAATAAGATTTTGGGGGGGGAGAGGAGGGGGAGTGGTGCACATTAGAAACTCCTATGACCTTCCCCTGTCCACTACACTTCTTTCTTACACTGAGGACAGTGAAGTCCTCAGTGCTGTGAAGAGTCCTTTGAGAACTTCACATAAAAGCCAGCCTGGCGGTGAACACAAGCACCCATTTTTTCGTCACTGCAGCAGGAGCAATGCTATACCAGGGACACACAACGGCCTGAAAATGTGCAAGCTCAAAAGACAAGAAATCAAATCATGTTACAAAACAGGAGAGGAAAAAACAGATATTGGTTATTGAAAATAACTGTAAAAGAAAGAAGATGAAATAAAGAAAAATTTCTTGGAAGGGGGAAAAGGCAGAACTGCTTACGTGCATTTATCTATCAGAACAAACTGAATGAACACAAAGAAAGACTAGAGATAAATAACCTCTATCGCAGTGATTTGTAGAAGTGATGTGCTAAGACTCCAAAATCCTTAGTTACACTTAGTTTTTTAAATATTTTTCATGCTAAAACAACAAAGAAAACCTTACACTTGAAGTCAGAGAAGTTTTTCCAAAAGTAAGCTTAATATTTAATTACAGAAATTACCCAAGACCTAACTCCAAATGAGGTCCAATGATAATAGCTGTTGTAAAGACTACAACAAAGAACTATACAGCACTTTTTTGTTGTCTCAGCTTTTGTTCTATATTTCCTTGGAGGATCACAAACCATGCAAATAATTTTTCAAAGTATGTTTGTACAGCATTTCTCAAAGCAGTGTGCCTGTCCTAATAGGAAAGGCAGAAATGCAACTCATCAGCCAGAAAATTGTGCAGATTTCCCACTAACATTTTCAAATTTCTTCATATAACCTACCTTTGAGTTTTAGCAAATCTCAGTTGAATACATTTTCAGTAGCCTGGAACATTTCATATCACTGACTAGGCACAATCAGTGATGTAATTTAGTGCTAACTTGCAATTTGCACCTGTCTATCACAGATTTCTAGACATGTCCAGTACAGTTCTGTAATCTAATACAGGAGAAAGCTAAGCACACATGCAGCTTCAAGACCCATGCCCAACTGGAGCATTAGTCTCCAAGAAGGAAAACAATATGCAAAAATTTACTGAAAAATCAACACTTTTCATATGTTGATTCTAAAATATTACTTGCTGTCTAAAAATAGTACATCCATGTATGATATCAAACACAAAGTACATTTTTAAGAACATAAAGTAGTTGCTTATATAGACAAGTGATTTTGTTTGGCAAGGACCTTGAAAGATCTCACAGAAATCTTTGAACAATCAAATCTTTTAAAATTACCTTTCAAAGTTTGATTTCCTAAGGAAAAAGAGACTATTTATTGTGTAAACTCCACTAGTAATACTTCACAAATAGTAGGACATTTTCAGGTAGTTTTGTAAAACTGTAGAGGTCCTAAATATATTTCATTCATTGAAATTTGTTAAATAAAATACATAAGAGGAAAAAACTTATTAGCAAGTTTCACCAATAGAAAAAGGGTGGGTGATGAATGGTCAGACCTATTACCTTTAGACCAGGCAATTAAGTGAGTTAGGAGCACTATGGGGGGCAGTCAAAGATAAAGGATAGAACTAATGGTAGAAAGGTTTTTTAGCTACTTGTGATAGGTAAGTAAATTAAATAATACTGCACTCATCCAGAAATGGATTGCTTTATGTCAGCTTATGCTGCAAACAGGTAACAGACTATCTACCGCAGGTTGAAGTGTATAAACCTATTTTTCCACTTCAAATAAAACTGCCTGTATATTTGTTATATTACACCCTACACTACTCTAGAAAAATGCAAGGAAAAAGGACCAAAAAGAGAGAAGTAATTTAATCTATCCTGTGTGTTGTTCTTTAAGATGCACTGCCCAGATGCCACTATTTAAATCCAGCAAACAGAAAGATTAGATTTAAAGCATCAGCTTCTACTGAGATGTGAACTGATACATGAGGTAAATTCATAAGTAAGAAGGCAAATGTGTCTTCAAGAACTGAAGTTGCTGTAAAGCACTCTACAGTTCAAACAATATAATTACCAGGATTTTACCCTTGTTGATGACCAAAAATGCCGCCCTCCTCATTGCTAATCACAGGCCCACTTTCTGTAGCCTACACCCAGACTATACTTAACCTTAACTTAAACTTACAACAAGACTAAACCTAAGCTAAAAATGTACCTTACTGACACAGCTGAGATGACCATAGCAAACGCTGTATTACCCTGGGGAAATCTTGGCTAAAATCTTCATGGACTAAGACTGACTTCTGGCACTTCAAAATATCATGTTATTGTTAATATTTTTAACTCATTTAGCATAAAATTTTATTTCTAAATCTCTGCCACCTCTTTGGTCTACCTGAAGCTTTGTACCTGTTAATAACAATATTGATCCTCTGTACAAACATCAAACAAATAAGCATCATTCCAATAGGCAGACAGACTTACTAGCATTCAAAGTTACAACAATCCTAATGTGTTTAGGCAGGTTCCCTTTTCAAGCACAAGGACAACTTTGGTCGGTTGGAATGTTTTCTGGACTCCAAATGATTACACAAATTCCCCAAATGATCAGGTGAGGTTCTGAACTGCTCTCCTCCTTACAGACATGAGCACAGCCATCCGAACTGGGTAGGCTGTTTGGCTTCAGCAGTGAAGACAGATGTCAGAAAGATGACTGCGAAGAATTGTTCATACTGGACTTCCACTTTGAAAACCTCACCTTAAACTTCAGTTTCATATTAGAGTGTCACTTATTCTTCCAAAGGGCAATACAGTAAAAAAGCTTTCAATTCTCTTTTGTGACATATTTGTGGAAAGTGAATGAAAGAAGTTCAAACTAAAGTGAGAGATTCACTAATCTTTAATAATGATACAAGGACTCTGCAAAAATATGCAAAGGAAGTATCTATCAGAATTTAGATTTCAGTCAGATCTTTCTGAACATCTTTTCATAGAGTGTAGGAAGTTATTAAAGGCCATGCAATGGGAACTACATGCCAAAATAGCACACAGATACATATCTCTTCAAAGGGAAACCGCTTCAGTGATGCTAGGGAGTACAGCATATACATGTATCACTTGGAAACGGAGCACCTGCTGCTGTTTGTGCCAAACAGAAACGTTTCCATTGATGTATCAGTTTTATCACATGGACTTCCCAAACTTGTTCAGAACAGTCAGGCTCTTCATTTTGGCAAGTGTCAGCTAGCCAGCTTTTGGACTGTCAAGTGAAACAACTGCTGGTCTCATTCTGTAACAAAACCTGTTAGAGCTGCCAGCCTTCAAAATTCAGTACTGCCCATGAGAAAGAACCATCTGAGCTTTTTGATAGTGAACACGACCCCCATTTTGTGACACAGTTGTTTACTCAGAAGGTGGGAAAGAAAAGACAGAGGACAGAGGGCAACACAGCCAGGCAGGGGTTTTTACCTACTTGGCTTTTCTGTCCAAGTTCTTTGCCCAGCTATCAGAAAATTGTTCTCAACCGCTCTATCAGTTTGGAGAAGAACTTACCAGTTCTCCAAACTGAACAAGTTTGGAGAAGTTGTTATATCATGGCAATTGCAATTTACTGGTGATGCTGCCTCAAACATTCACACTTAAAAATTATTTAAGATCATAAGATAGTTTATCAACTAGAAGTTCCTAGAATTACAAACTAATTAGACCTTATTTCTCCAAGTAGCATTGGATTACAAAAGCAAAACTGTCATGTATAATAATTCTTAGAATTATTTCAAGTAATTAAAAGTTATATGCTAACATAAAGCCATAGTTTTCCACATGGCACCAACAAGTTTTTACTCACTAAAGCATTGGAAAATGTTCAGTTAAAGCCCTTAAACTGCCACTGAACTCAGGTAAGTCACTGCAAAATGGTCCTACTACTGTTACCTAAATATTTCACTGGAGTTCAAAGAAGTACTTTTAAAGTTTATCAAACCAGTGATAAGAAAATGTAGCTGAATTTCAGGAAGGCAATAT